CCCCCCCCCACACACACACACCCCTTGCCTGACCAGAAGGGCTTTGCTCAGCTCCATGCATCTAGGAAGGCTGGTGTGTCTGACCAGCTGTGTGCAAATGCCTCCCCCACAACCTCCCGCTGGGTGGCCCACCCTAAGGGCAAGGTCAGGGCGCCACACCCAGCCCACTCATGCCTGCCTGCACCTAGCAGAGCCGTGGGGCTGGCGCCGCCCCATCGGGGACAAACGTTCAGCACAGTGGGGGGCAGCAGGATCCCTGAACAATGCTCTTTGGGGACCATACCCTGTAAACATCAGGGTTTGGCTCAACTCCAACCCCCGCTCCCCCCAGTTCCAAATTCATTTATTCACCCTACACCCCCGGGGCCTCACCCCCCGCTGGGAAGAAATGCCTGACGGGCCTGATGCGAGTGGGTTTGGCGAGCAGAGAGCTGGACCATGGGGGTTTCACCCCCTGCTCATTTTGCTCCGTTTGGTGCACGTGGCCAGGTATGCCCTCCGCACTGTGCAGAACCAGGATGCTCTGAAATGGGGGGGGGGCCGCTCACAAGAGCCCCGCCCCAGAACACCGCACCGAGTGGCCTTGAGAAGGCAGAATAGGACGCACAGCAGCTCCACGAATACTTTAATTCCAAACCTGGGGGACTCCGGGCGGATTCGGTACTACAGGGAGCTCTTTGAGCCGGGGCTGGCTCCGGCTGAACCTCCCCAGAGGCGTTTCAGTCCGTGTCCTCCTCAAAGACAGCGAGCGCCTGCTTCCCCGTCGGCACGTAGCCCAGGGCATCCACCTCGCCTCCGCCGCGGCTGGGCTTCTGGAAGTGGATCTCCAGGGCGTCCCTCATGGACTCCTCGTCCAAGACGTCCGGGATCCCCGACAGGAGCACGGTCCTGGCACAGACGGACGGATGGAGCTGGGGGGGAAGAGAGCAGAGGAGTGACCCTGCAGCGGGCGCAGCCTCCTGCTGGCACAGCCCGGGGCTGGCCGGGCCACGAGGAGAAGAGGGCCCGGTGCTGATGGAATTAACCCGGGCAGGGACAGCCCCACCCAGACGTCAGAGCCGCCTGCTGAGGAGCGGGTGGGACCAAGCAGCAGGGAGAGCAGGGAACACAGAGCAGGGGGCTGGGCTCCTGCATCTCAGCCTCTCCCAGGGTCATCGTTACCTGTATTTCCACAGGGCCCAAGAGTCCAGCCATGGGCCAGGCCCCACAGCAGCCCCTGCCCCCCAGAGCTTAGTCTGCCTTGCCCCTCTTATGCTCTTGGCCAACAGAGGAATGGGGCATGCAGGTGCAAAGTGACAAAGGGCAGTGCGCTCACACCCGGGGTGGGAGCGGGGCCAGGGCCAGGACATGCTGGGGTGGGGGCTGTCAGCACTGGGGCTAGCACAGAGAGGAGTGGGGTTCAGGGTCAGTGCATAATGTCCGGGGGGTGTGGTCAGTGTGCACCGAGTCGTATGGAGTGGAGGGGGTTGGGTGAATGTGCACTAGGGGTGGGTGGTCAGTGCACACAGAGGTCGTGCGGAGGGAAGGGGTGTTGGGGTCAGTGCACAATGAAGTCATGTGAAGAGGGGTAATGGGTTAGTGCACACTCAGGCTGTGCAGAGGGAAGGAATGTCAGTGAGTTCACACTGGGGAGGTGTGGTCAGTGCACATTGGGGCTTGCACCTGGCTGGGGGTGGCCTTAGAGCATGCTGGGAGTGCACTGGGCGTGCAACCCCTCCCTACCTGCAGGTCTCGGATCTCTCCACTTGTGTACGGCGTCACTTTGAGCTCAAACGTCTGCTTCCCAATGGGGACTTGGGTGCGTCCTTTCTTCACTAGCTGCTCCGCCACTGCCGAGGGAAACAAGGCCTGACAACCTGCTTCTGCACGCTGCACGGTGCTAGGGCGGGGCGGGGGAGGTGCCCCAAACTGGCACTAGCAGCGCCAGCCCGAGGACACACCAGGTATCTGGCCCTCTGGCAAACCAGAGCCACCCCGGCCTCCTCCTCCCGCTGTGCCGCCTCGCAGCGGCTCCCCCAGGTACCTCCATCGTGCACGAAGGTCAGCACCACGTTCCCGGAGTCGTGCAGGAGCTCCCGCCGCTCCACCTCGCCGCCCCCGTGCTTCCTCTTGCTAAAGAACAGCTCCAGCTTGTCCAGCAGCAATTCCTCGGTGAGATCCAGCCGGGGCAGGTTGGACAGCAGGATGCTCCGGTCACTCAGCTCCAGCTCAATCTGCAGGGCAGGTAACAGGCCGTCAGGTGATGGGGCCGTGGCCGTGTGGGATGTGGCAGGCCCCAAGGAGCTTCATGCTCCAGGCCTCTGATGGGGGAGCTGCGCGCTGGCACTGATCACAGCCCCGGTTCCTTGAGCACAGGCAACGGCAGGGCACGCAGCCCAGCAGGATGGGAGCTGGCTGCCCACCCCGGCTGGGCATAGCCCGGCCCTGCAGTGTGAGAGGGGCTGCCCACGTTCCTTGAGGGAGGCAAAAGCCGTGGCCCTGACAGTGGGCCAGGGAGGCAGAGAGTCCCCAGCATGCAGACTCACCTCCAGGGCTGAGGGCAGCAGCAGCTCCACAGGCCTGGCCTGCATGCGCACCCGGCCCTCACTCCCCGTGCTCTCGTCCAGCTTCACCTCGTGCCACTTCATGTCTAGGATCCGCTGGGCCACTGCAAGCGGGGAGACACCCCTCAGGCCTGGGCGCGCCGGGCAGGCGGCTCGGGGAGGGAATCCCCCGCAGGAGGGGCTAGGTCGCGCGCAGCTGCCCCACAGGGAGGCCTGGCAGCGCCGGGGGAGACGGCGTCTGGGAAAGCAGCAGGGCTCCCAGTCACGGCGGCACAAAGAGCCCCGGGCGAGGGGGAGAACGCTGGGGCCTCTCGCCCAGGCCAGTCACCTCTGAGGCAGGCACCCCCACGTGGGCGCCCGGCAGCAGGCCTTAGCCGGTGTGTGTGGAGCAGAGACGCATTCCCTCCGGGCTAGGCCCTGACCATGGCCTGCAGCCACAGACCTACCGTCCTCCGCCACGTGACCCTTGAACACCATCGTTCTGTCCGGAAGGGCCAGCGGCGCCTGGGGAGGACACGCAGGGCCACATGAGGCAGTGCCACGTCCACAGAGGGGAGGGAGGAGAGGGCTGGGGTCCACCCCAGCCAGTCCCCACCTCAGAGCCTGCAGCTCGGCGCCCGGCACAGAACCACTCCTATGAAGGCTGCCGCCCGGGCCTGGCAGAGCCGCTAGCACATCGTTCTGTCCGGAAGGGCCAGCGGCGCCTGGGGAGGACACGCAGGGCCACATGAGGCAGTGCCACGTCCACAGAGGGGAGGGAGGAGAGGGCTGGGGTCCACCCCAGCCAGTCCCCACCTCAGAGCCTGCAGCTCGGCGCCCGGCACAGAACCACTCCTATGAAGGCTGCCGCCCGGGCCTGGCAGAGCCGCTAGCAGGCTGTTGAACCCTCCCGTCTGAGCAGGGGAACAGGAGTCGAGCTCACGCACTGCCCTGCCGTGTGAACGGATGTGCCCCAGCCGGGCCCCTCCGAGACAATTGGGTATTTCCTCATACCCACCCTAGACCTCCCCCGCGTCGTTCTGTCACCTGCCCCCACTGAGAACAGCCTCTCGCCATCCTCCTTGGAATCTCCCTCCAGGGAGTTGCAGGCTGCTCTCAAATCCCCCCTCACTCTTCTCTTCTGTGGACTAAATAAACCCAAACCCCTCAGTCTCTCCTCGTAGGTCCTGCGCTCCTGCCCCCTCATCATTTTGGTCGCCCTCCGCTGGCCCCTCTTCAATGCGTCCACGTCCTTTCTGTAACGGGGGCCCCAGAACTGGACGTAACCCTCCAGCTGCGGCCTCCCCCTTACCTTAGCTTGCTCCTCCAAGGCGACTCTCCTCTCCTCCAGCTCCGCCAGCTGCTTTTCCAGCTCCTGCTTCTGCTCAAGCAACTTGCTCCTCTCCTCCTTCGCCAAACAAAGCTCCTGGAAGGAAAAGTTAATCAGAGAGCAGGGCAAGGGAGCTCCGTCGCTGCCCCTCCCACCATCCCAGCCCTGGGCTCCCCTCACAGCTCGGCAACTGCCTCTCTCACCCCCTGCTCCCGATGCCATCGCCCCCCTGCCCTCCACCACCAATGGCTCTGCTGATTAGGGATGTAAAACCCAGTTTCATCAGTCAACTAGCAGGCGTGGGGAACCTTTTTCGGGTGGGAGCCACTGACCCACAGAGAAATCAGTGGGGAGCTGCACAAATATCTCCATCTCACTGACATGGCCCCTGACGGAGAAGCAGAAAGACCCTCCCCACATACCCCTTGCACACCAGAGCCTAGGGGGGCCTGGACTAGTAGATTTTGTGGGGTCCCCTAGGCTCTGGGGTGGGGTACCCCAATGCTTGGGAGAGAGCCCCGAGCCTTGGGGACCAGATCCAGGCAAGCTGGGGGGCCAAATCCAGCCACCAGGCCATAGGTTCCCCACCCCTGGATTAAATGTTACGTTTAACCAATTAAACACTGACGGGCAGAGGGGCCGCTCCAGCCCAGCTGAGTTGAAGTGGCCCCCTCCACTTCTCCGGCCAGGCTGGGGCGCCCCTGCCTCCAGCTCCCTGAGCC